AAAGGGGGTAGTCCAGCAAGCAGCTTTCTGACATTATTTAGGGGGGGCCCCTAGAATAATGTCTAGAGATTTGAGGCTTTAAATCTTTATTACTTTTCTTTGCCTTTTGATTTGCTTTACTTACCATTGAAATTGCAGGTCTTTGGATTTAGATTTCCATTGAAATTTAAAAAGTTAATTCTATTTGCATTGATTCATTCCCTTTTATTGTAATTAATATTCCAGATGTCTTCAAAGTTAGGTTTCTTGATTCCTTTTATTTTAATATTGCCAGAGTAGCTCCAGAAGTAGCTAGCTAAGGATTCCTTATTTAATTATCAACTGATTGATTTTCTTATACATTATTTTGGAGGCCTTGGCTGTTGAGGGGGGGGGGGGGGGGGGGGGAGTTTATAAATCAAGAGTCAACATTATTCAGTTCCAAGCAGCAAGCAGTTGATAGTTCCATCCGCATTCCAGAAGCTATGGTGACGAGGGCCCGCGGTGAGCAGCGCCAGAAAACAACCACTTTTTGGTTTCAAATATATCTCTTTGATGCTCCCATATTCTCCCGTCAGTCAATTCGGTGCTGGGCAGTTGCGTCAATGACGATTCACAAGGAATGATGTTGGGGTCAGCAATTGGAGGAGCGTCCTTTCACTCTACCCACCATTTTTCCACATATCCGCACCGCATTCAGCCGGACTCCTCCAACCCCTGTTCGGCCCGGCCGAAGCCCATCCTAGCAGCCGCCGCATGCGCCCCCCCCTGGGAGCTGAGGCTGAGCTCACGGGGGACTTCCTCAATCAGGTGGCGGTTGGGAGTGAAGGACCGAAGAAGACCCGTTTGGGGAGTGAAGGACCGTTTGGGGACAGAAGGCAGGTCGCAAGCAAGGGTCGATGAATGCATCGGGTGATTCTTACGACCTGCCTGGATGCATCGGGAGTCACGACCTCGGAAGCGGTCAAGTCAAGTCAAGATTGACTTGATGCATCGAACAAAACATCATGGTTCTCGAATATATAGAGTGTTTCTTTTTTTTTTGCGTGATGTTTTTGTTGGACATGCATTAGACTGCTGGTTGGTCTCGAAGAAGGGGGAGCTTTTGGATATGCCACTAGGAAAAGCAAAAGAGATGCATATTGAAATGGCTAGTATATAGTATATTTAGTGGTGCTGCAGTGTTTGCTACCCTTTGTGCCTACATGTTCCTTTTGTATTCTTTTGTGTTTACTTACTCATATATTTTTGGTATATACATATGCAGGGTGAGTCAAACGAAGGATTCCCAAACTATGGCAGGTTGACACTCCCTGGCAGGGCATTCTGTTCACTTTTGGATACTTTTGGTCATTCATGCGGATTCCTTCAGTACAAACGCTGTTAATATCTCTTCTTCGTGGGTGACACAACAACACACCCTGTTCGTCCGGCACAGCCTCCGGAGCCGGGCATGGATCGTACACAGGGCGACACGCGGTTGGCGCGCGTGTGGCTTTTTTCGTGTTGCCCAACGGTGGAACACGGTGGATCGACCAACGGTGGCGCGTGCCTTTTTTGCGCCGTGACCCGCCGTTGCCTTGCGCTCGAGTGAAGTGAGGTGCGATGCCCCAACTCCAAGTCAAGCCTCTTGGGCGTGCGAAGCTCAGTATTCAGACCAAAAAGGCCGTTCTGAAGCCTCCAAAAGGCATTTTCGCCCCCCAGTTGTGACGCTCAGAGCCGATTGGAACAAGCATGCCTTCTTTTTGCGGACTCTAGCGTTCTTTATGCCCTTAGCTGCCTGGTTACTTACGTTTTGTGCGATCGAACCTTGCGTTTTTAAAACTCACGTTTCCAGCCGTACGTTCCCACGTTTTGGAGCTCAGATGCGTTTTTGGAACTTCCTCATGCATAAACAGAACAAGGCCATTGAACACAGAAACATCCCAAATGCATTTTCAAAAACCAGAAAAATGCATCCAGTAGCACCCCATAGCCCTATAGCTTGAACACAAACAATTCCCAAATGCATTTCCAAGAGTGAGAGAAAAGCGTCCAGCAGTAGCCCATAGCTTCTGTATTGAAAGACGAACATATTTCCGCAAAGTGGACCTCCAGACCACACAGATGCATTTACCCGAGGACAGTAAATGCATTTAGGTATTTGGATGGGGCCTGGATTTTGGGAGGGGGGCTGCACGTTTTGGATTACACGTGCGGAACCTTACGTTTTGCGTTTTGCGTACCGGGGCGCCTAAGTTTATGCCCTTTTCAGAGGTGGCCCTGGATCGCACAAAGGGCCTTGAGCAAAAGAAATGCATTTGGATTGTAATGCCTCATCATATGGGGGTTGAATTGTAATTATCAGCCTACATTTTCTACATGACTAATTACCCATGATAGTTCTCCGGAGTGCTGTCCTATTTCCTGCCTCAAAGCCCGGCCAGAACGCCCCGAATTTGAGGCAGCAACCGAGGGGGGAATCCACGTGGTCCAGATGCTCTTAATGCAGAAGGCCATCTTATTCGCTTCGTCCAACCTGTCCCTCTTTGCTCGTGTAACTTGGTTACAGTAGTTTCAGAGTAGATGATCGCACAGACCTTCATTTAAAGGACATCTTTGGGCTTGTGCCATCTACTCTGAAACCACTGTGTCAGCGCTGTTGTGGTGACTTTCTGTTGAAGAGAGCATCGGTTCGTTGGTATGTTTGATTGTGGCCGTGGGTTAACAACTATAGCCTCCAAAAACATGGTAGGTTGGTGTATAGGTTGCACTGCCTGGTATTCTATTCAGTTCATCGATTTGGGATAGGCTGCTGATGGGCTGCAGTCCGCCAGTATCAAGTAGGCTATCAGATCCTGCAAGTTTGGCAAGTACGCAGCTTGATCATTTGTTGAATTCTAGGCTGTAGACATCACGTGGAACACACTGTAGGTACCATCACTTACACCTAAACTCTTGATATCTCTTGGGCTAATCCATCACAATCAGGCGGCATGTTGTTCTTGTTGTTCTTCTTGTTCTTGTTCTTGTTCTATCTTGTTCTACTACTATAGTCGTCGCCGTCGTCGTTGTCGTCGCCGCCATGGGTGGGGAGGGGTGTGGCTGGAATATTGCGACCTATGTGTCGATCACATCTTGTGCAAGTGAGTCTGGAGGCTAGAAGGTCCTCGATCAAGCAATGTGGAATTGGAGTTGCCCGACTTGAGGAGGGATCAATCTCTTCATGAGGAAACCCAAAACTTAAAACTATTTTCTTTTAGACCCTCGTGACGACAGATCCCAGAGAATAAACCCCTGTTGTGTGAAATTCCGCAATATAGAATAAATGGCACAGAAAACGGGAACTGAACATGTAAAACTATAGAAATATATCCAGCATCGCATATAGTCAACAAAAAATCAATCATGTCATTAAGGTTTAAGAATGATAAGGGAACTAATAAAGTTACCAATATTTCTAATTTTCATAATTCTTTCATACTCTATAGGTTTCCGGACCACCTAATTGTTAACTGAAACAATTTTGCAAATTCCTTGCTTTTCGCAGAACAGACAAACTCAATATAGATTTCAAGTTTGGTTCGAAAATATATACTGTAATTCCTGTTCAATTGCTGAAAAGCTTGTTGTTTGCACCAGTGAATTGTTTTTTAATGGTATGTCCTTTTTGTATGTTATATTATACCTATTAAAAATATAGATATGTTCATCTTCTGGAACTGATCAATTAGTTCAATTGTTTCGATATGTTATTGTTTGAGTTACTGTATTTCGTTTATTAACTCAATGTCTTTGTTTTCCGGACCATTAAACATTAAGCTTAAGACTTTTAAGTCTACTAAATTCATTAGTTAATGTAATTGTTCCTTCCTTTTGCAGAATCATAAAGCAATATGTTTGGCTAAAACTATGTCAAAATTATAGTAACTATTGATCAATTGAAATTCTTGGTTGTCCGGACCAAATAAATACTAACTATAGTTGGTGGGGGGGTGGGGCAGGGGCAATGAACTTGGGTGGATAGTTGCGTGGACTGTTGATGCGTTCTTTAGCATGAAAGGAATTGCGCGGAGAAAAAGATTTGAGCCAGCTCGCGCAGCTCGATACCAAGAAAGTGCCCGTAATGCGCCGGATGTTTTTGGAAGTTGTTTTGCGCTGCTCGGGTTTCGGGCGTGTTTGATTTGGTCCATATATGCTTAGTATGATGCTCAGTATGTTTGTTCCATTTTTGTGCGGATGTTCAACCGTTTGCGCAGCAAAGTCCGCTCGCCTGCAAGCAAAAAACATACAAGACTGGTGAACAATGACAATGAGCAATGACAACCCCTCCACCAAAACCTCCATCTAAGGCTGGTTGTCCAACCCCTTCGTGCAAAGAAAGGGAGGCCGCATCACGCTTGCTTTTGCCTGAACATGACACATTGCGCGGCCTTGGACGCCGGTGTCTCACACCAGGACCTGATTTTACTGTACACTAAAACCGCGATTTTTAAAACACCAACTTGTTTTACATTCTCATATCCCAAAGCACTCCGACTGCCATAGGACTGCATACCGTAAGGGATGCATACGACTGCCCTCTGGGGCGGCAGTCCGGACTGGCCGTCCGCCTCGCCAGGCCGACCCCATGGTGTCAGACCCGAAAGGCCGTCGCTGATGGCCGTCCGACGATGGCCGTGCCGGCATCAGAGAGTATAACACCACCCCTCTATGTAAGAAGCCTCTATAGTCTATAGTGGTTGTTTTGAGGGAACGGTAAGGTATAGAGGTTTCTTTTTTCCACAACCTCATTTGGGGGTTGAACTTCTGATTTCAGGTCGGTGAGTACAGATTCGTTCTTCCGGACGGCGGCACATTGCACACTCCAGGCCTGTTGCCAACCTTCCACTGGATAAAACCAATATAGAATATATAGAATATATACGGTTTTTGGTACCTTTCTTCTTTTTCTTCGGGCGTGGCGAAGCACCTTGGGGGGAGTGCAGTTCGTCACCTGTTAAGCACGGGCCCTGGGCCACCTTTGCGACACTTGCTTTCCGGGTGATACCGATGACATGCACTGACCCGATGCACTCACCACCGCCGGTGAGAGTCGACGCCGAGAGTCGCTTGGTGTCAGGCAACACGCCTCTGCACAAAGCGGCCGAACATGGGAGTATGCTTACAGTTTTGATGCTCTTGGATCGGATGCAGGCAGCCGTGTCGGCGGCTACTGATTCTATGACTGTCGGAATAAAGGATATAGTTGTGTCGACGTCTTTTTTTGCATGATTGTTTTTTTTCATAACATGTCGTTGCGTTTGTGGACTGATTTAGTTGATTGCAAAGCCTGGCATCAGTCTTTATTCAATAAAGAGTTGCTACTTAATAGTCAACATCACACATTAGCTGCAAACATATTGTTGTTTAAATGTTGTTTGCTTGATATGGTCAATTCAAGCACGTACTGGGAAATCCCACCCATTCTCCCTCGTCCACGGACCAATTCAAGGTGTACTTGTAGAAGGGAAACTATTAAAATTGGATGGCTTAGTCCTATGTATTCTTTCTTGCATGATTGTCCTTGGAAGTCCAAAATGACTCATTCTACCCCCATCTACCAGTAGCGGAAATCATGACGACCAGGTGGCCCAGGTGGGGGAAATCAACCCTCATTGGACGTGCACCTAAGGAGGTTGGATCCACTTCGCTTCGGTCCGTCCGTCACCCAAAACCCCCATCCACGACCCGTCTGGGACTGCCAGTCCGGACTGCCGCCCCAGACAGACCCCTCAACCATCCCAGCTGATAGGCAGTCCGAACTGGCAGTCCCAGACGGGTCGTGTCTGGGAAACCGATCCACCTTCCGCCTTCTGCCGAGGCGCACGACCGCTGGACCTGCTCCGCGGAGCCCAACGCGGACGGCGAGACGCCGGAGATGCTGGCGGCGCTGGCCAACCGCGGGGAGATTTGCCACACCTTGGAGGTGGGATGTGAACCCTGGCCTTCAAAGACCATCAAAAGAACGGTTGAGCTGGTGGTCTGGTCTGACCCAGTAAAACCTGGAACCTGGCCTTTGACATCCATCAATATCGGTTTTGTATGTTCATCTCCAGTAAAATGAGGTCAAGCTGACTTGTAGGGAATTCTTGTTTGAATCCAAGGGTCAACGGTCCGAACTGGAAAACGGTCGAGCTGCTGAGTGCTGGAGAAGGAGTTCCGGGCCATGAAAGGTCGGACTCAGGAGCCTACGTATACCTCAAGGGGGTTGACCATGTTGAATTTAGCAAAGAGCGGTCGTGAATTTCAGCCATTGGGCTAAAACCTGCAAAAGCCAGCCTGGCCTTTCATGTCCTCTACTTGACAGTAAGTTTGAGCAGACGCGCTTATGAAATAACCTTTGATACGGCCTATTCGCATCCCTGACGGTGGAGCCCGCCCCGTGCGTCGCCTCCGGATCCCCAGCGGCACGGTTCGTTCACTCCGGATGCACTGGGCGATGGAGACGCGGATTCACTGGTCGAAGCGATTGAAGCCTATCTTGTATCCGCCAAGTAGGTTTTTCTGTGACCGGGTGGCTGTTCTGAGCTTTGGGCAGAGTGGAAGACCTCGACTTCTGCCAGGTCTTCCGGCAGATGCAGACAGATGCCAAACAGCGGCAACTGGGTGCTTGGGCGGCAAGAGTGCTAGTCAGGACCGGGGGCTCTAAGGCTCTTCAGCTGGGTTACAGGGTCAGAATGAGCTTTCCCCGTTTCCCGCAGCCCCGCAGCCGCTGGAAATCATCCTTTTCTGACAACAACACTGGACTCACTTTCCCTGGATGTGCCAAGTTGTCCAGCAGCAACTACTCGCAAGTTGCTCATAGCATGGATTTGGTCCCAAAGTAGGGATGGGAATAGATGAGATGATGATGAGACGAGCGTCTGGGTTGTTATAGAAGTGCAAGCCAACCACAGAAAAGCCAATCATTTCCAGAAAGTGGAATAAACAATCTACAACAACTTCTTTCTGTAGTTTACCCTCATATAGTACAGTAGTTGTTCATTGGTCTCTGGTGCATTCGGCTTTATATGAAATCTACCACTGCCTCACTCATGTTCCTCGCAGGCCATGTTGGCCTTTGTTCCTCCCAGGCCATCTTGGCCTTTCCAAGGATCATTGTGATTCCTTGGGTCCTCAAAATGAATCACGGCATGAAAGTTACCACCTCAAGCCACAGTCTGGATTCCAGAAAACTGACCATGTTTACCAACATTCGCCTGACTGGGGGCACCTCTTTGGGGGAACCACATGGTCTCATTCCACCATTCTGGTAGATAATAAGCCTATAGGGTGTGTCCCAGGAAAGCAGTAACAGTCGGTACCCAAGATGATCACGAGTTTTCAGAAAGACCTTCATCATCCACTGCTGCTGACCATCGGATATATGATAAATTGTGGTAGTACATTAATGATATCCCTGCAAGTCCGGAGTGCAAGTTAAACAATTACCGACATTCAAAAGAACACGTTTTACGAGCAACTTTTGTTTGTCGCAACCCACACCCTTTGATCCAAGCAAGTTCAACATCACCACGCTAATGGCATATACAACTTGTTGAAATTCATGCAAACGATAATTTTGTTTAAACACAATGCAAAAACATGTCAGCCAGGATTTCCTTACATATTACAAACATAAGGGGACTAGGGACCTGTTACGCTCCAGTTACAGTCCTGTTACGGTTTTAGAAGATCATTTGCAGTTTTAGAATCTAGAAGTCTCCACGGAACTGTTGCGCTATTGGCCCACAAATGATTCCTTTTTGCTCTCAATGTCGAATCATGAGCCTCAAAACCACCAAGCACACCTTTGATTTCACTCAAAGTTGCCTTTGATTCCCTTCCGAACCATTATGAACACTAGTCTTATCTTTAACGGGACCAAGTAAAACAGGTTCCAATAAAGTACATAGTGTTCATGATCTCGAATTCTAAATGAACAAGTTTAACGAGGTCATTGACTTGGAGGATATATGATGAGATGATACCACTTATACCGAACCTATACTTCAGAGGCTGCTGTGGGCAAATCTCTTTTGGACTATGAAAACACCACACCCCTCGGCTCATGACGCTCGCCACACTCGCTCGACATGGAGGTTCTGCTCTGCAGGCCCCCGACACCTCAGGCGTGCGGAGCACTTGCGCGGTGCAGACGCCGTGCGGAGCATTTGCTTTTTTGTTTATAGCATTTAATAGCTAGAACATGTAACATGCGCAAAGTGAGTACTACCACAGTCCCCTGTCGTTGTCGTTGTCGTTGTCGTTGTGGTTGTGGTTGTTGTTGTTGTTGTTGTTGTTGTTTTCAGGTTGCACAGCAATTCCACAGCTATTGTGAGAAGGCAAGACCTCACATGTTGTTGTTTTTTCTTTTGCTTTATTCAAAATGAATTGCACTTTGTTGAAGTGCCTGAACCACGTGGAGCCCTTTCGGGCATGGAGAGCGGCCAAAGAAAGCTCGGAGAGATGAGAGATGTGTCGAAACCTTCCTTTCCTCGGGGTGTTCACTGACGATCCACAAGTAGTGTAAGGTATTCCAGACAGAGTCCCTGAACGGAAGTTGCCAGATTCTGTGGATGAACTCCACAAACATGGAAAAAAAGAGGAAAGCACACCAGCACTGCCCAGTTTGGGTGGTTGATATAGACAAAGCACCACTGGATGTATTTTCCCTGCAAGCACCACCATCCACCCAAAATCCGTGGTGCTGGCACACACGCGCGTGCTTGCCTGCTTGCGTTCTCGCCAAAAAGGGCTCCAGTCGTACCTCCTCAAGTGGTATTTGGACCCTTCAAACCCACCCGAAACACCTTCTCAGAGGGAAGAAGACCAGGGTACTTCTGCACCGGAAAAAGAAAAGGCCTCCCCCGTCGCACGAGCCACCGCCCCGACCGTGCGCTCGGTAGGCCATCGGATCTCCACAGGTCGGGGGAGCGAAGAAGCGGGGGAACCGCGCCGTTGGGTCGTTCAGTGCGGCCGGGGTGGATAGAAGTTGGACGATGTTGGAGGACTAGAAATATCTAGAATCAGAGAGGCTGGCAGATGTGAGAAGAGGTGATGAGTTCGGTGGCTTGTTTTTGGGGTCAGAATCGAACAGATGCACATGTGAGAAGCTTGTGTTGGCAGATGTACGGCTGGGAACCAGGAAATCCTTCGGGCTAGGGGGATGGAACATACCATGAAATACCTCTTGGGTCCAATCAATAAGGTTTTGCAAGCTCGTCCTTTGGCAAACAAACATGGAAAGAGGCTAGCAGTGCTCCCCTTGAAAGAGGAACGTTGTGTTCTCAATGTTTGTCCCACAAAGGAGAGCCCACAAAGCACAGTAAAAGAACCAAGGCAGCGCATTCTGAACCCATCTCAACCCCCTTCCCACTCGCCACACTTGGCAAAACATTAGTACAATGTATTATGATAATACATTGTACTATTATGACTGTTTTGCTTAAGCACACCGACTTAGACACAAACGTCCATGGAAACCTATATATACATACTAAACAGAATAGACCTGAAAGAGAGGCTCGTTGCTCCATCCATCCCACCCCACAGTCTCGTCTCGCGGACGCAGCTTCGATCGATCCGCACCAGGCGACGCGGTGTCGTTGATCGATCTCAGCATGGACGCGCCCGAGGCTGTGGTGGCCGGGCGTCCTAGGGGGGGGGGCCGTGCGGGTGCTCGCTTTGGTGGCCAAGGAGGGGATCGAGATGATCCAGGGTTTGGTTGCGCCGAGATAGACGGAGGAGACCCAAGTGATTGAGCTGGGATTTGTATGAATTTGTACTCATACAATCTTGCTCCTCTTGCAGATTGAAGAAAAGAAAGATGTTTGATGATGCAGGAAATACCGGATACCTCGCCATGCTTCTCCCTGTGACGGGCTTCTCCCTATGGGGGCCCAAAAGGTCTCGTCTCTCGGCGCTGAGGCCCATGCTGGTGTTTTGTTGCGACAGTCCAGTATCGGTCAGGGTCGCTCAGGAGCCGGGGAGGAAGCTGCATGTCTTACTCGGGTGTGGAACAGACTCCAGAGGAGCTGGCGAAGTGGATCAATGGCAGGAACACTCACGAGTTTTTTGGGATCCACATATCCTCTTGAGGTACGGTGATGTATTCGACACTGTTATGTAGGTTTGGAGGGTCCAACATCCTTCTGAGAGGGCACTTGGATCCCTAGGGAGTTGAACTTGATCTCAGCATGGATGCCCATAATTACTATAGAAATGACATGACATCATGGTGAAACCCGATACCAAGGTCGAGGAATTTGGGCTTGACCAGATGAGACACATGCATTTGTGCCATTTATACACTAGTTTCGTTTAATCGTTCAGGTCACCAACTGCCCCGCCTATGCCCTGCCTATGCCGCTACGTCATGACGGCGTTCCGCTCCAGGTCGGTGCCGAGTGAAGGTTTCTATTGTTTTGCCGACCGGTGGTGAGTCACCTGCGCGCAGCCGAATATCTCTCACATCTCAGGCTCCGTCCTGGTTCCGAACCTCTTTCAGCGCATCCCAGAGGAGCAGGCCGAGTGAGGGTGGCGATTGGGCGATTTCACGGTGCCAAATCAGGTTCCATGTGAGCAGAACAAACACGACGTGTTCTACAGGTAAATGGTGTTTATCTACAAGAGCAGACCCCATTCTTGCCTAGCGGTTCAGAGTTTTACGTTCTAAGTTATTGTGTCAATAGCCAGTTTAAGATGGCCTGCATGCTGTGTTGGCCGGTGAGATTTTGACAGACGTCATTCATTGTCATGATCAGATTTTGAAGAAGAGAACAACACAGATGATTTGCATCACTGTCTATTTACGTACTTATCCAGTTTGTCGATGGACTGCATGAAGTGTTGGGTCACCAGTTGGTTTTTCTTTATTGTTTTGATTTTAATAAGTATGTCATGCAGAAACTGGATATAGTTCCTGTCTCTCTCGCTGCGATGATGCCGATTGGGGAGCTCTTCAACTCCTTCTCCGGCATTTTCCCTTGGATACTCAGAGCTCCGGTGGCGCTTGAAAGAGAGGTCGCAAATGAGGTACTCTTCCGATGGCTCGTCCAAGCGACTTGTTGCAGGTCATGTGACCAACCCATATATAACCAAACGAGATGCCTTGGGGCCTTGAAGTGGTTTTGATTGGGGCACCAGCCAGATAGGGAACACCGATTGGAACACGATTTGTCACGTGCTTACTTCAATTGATTCGTGCCTGAGGCAGATCTGGCTGCCCTTGTGGAGAGGCATGGGAGTGAAAGAGAACACTGACAGAATATTTGGCCAGAGCCATCTTTAAGAAATGTAATTCTGCCACATGACATGTATATGTTGATTGTCTTTGATATATATATATATATTAATATATAACATATTGTAATTTGACTAAAACCTCTCAACCCACCAAAGTCTGAATGCAAACTCATTGAAAGGCCTCAAGGTCCTGACTTCTATGGAACACTCCTGTCGTGACCGGTCCTGTTTCTCTTTCAAAAAGAAGCAGCTCCACGAAAACAGCACGAAGTACAAACATGTTAAACATCACCCCCAAAAAAGAAGCTCCTCGTTATCGGGTGGTGGTTTCCACCACCAGCTAACATCGAAACCACCACCCCTAACCACCCCTCGACACGACTGCAGCCGTCGCCAGGGTCTGCGCGGGCCTCAAAGGAGCAGAAGCCTTTTTGCTGCGCCCGGCGGACCCGGCTGGAGAGACAGACGTGAGGGTCGGGAGAGGTGTGGGCGGGGAAGCTACGCTACGCGTTTCGTCCACAAACTTGCGTCCTTGCTACTAGGTATAGCGATGCAGCTTGCTAACTAGTAAGGCCAGGAGGTCCTTTTGGAAGATGTTGGGGATTTGGATGGGCAGTCGACCACCGAAAAGTGGTCGACCTCGACTTCGCCCGTTTGGAGTTGGGGAGAGACATGGAGAAACGGAGCCTTTTCAGCCCGTCAGACGCCATGAGAAACGGCAGCACCGATCTCAGGGTGTGTTACCCAGACCCTGCTCCATGGGACTGACATATATGCATATGTTGGGATAGTTTTGGGGGTCAATTATTATGTCAGTCCCATTCGTCGTGTCTGGGGATTATGAGATAAACCTTTTCGTGATAGCAACAACATTCCCAGGGATATCGAGTCCACCCTGCGGTCGCTCATGGACACCCTGAGAAGCACACTGTTTTCACATCATTTCGCTGTTTACATCTAGGGGTTTCTTCTATATATTAGGAGACTCCTCATTTTTTCAGGCCACGATTTTCATCTACTCTTTCACCATTTTGGGAGATCTGTAGGGAGTGCTTAGCTGTGTCCTATAGCACTCCATTTCCCTTTCAGCGCTTCACGCCGCGTAGCCGCCCGCGTCGCCTGGGCTCCTCGCTGAGGTCATCCCTGGGATCCGGGGGACCCGGGCCTTGACCCCGCTCTCAAGAGGCCGCGGTTCCGGTCGTTCCGCGCTCCGCGCTCGACGCGGAGCGGAGGTGGACGACGTGGACACGGAGACGCGGACGCGACCGGGTGCAAAGAAGTCCTGCGGCACATGGTCCTGCTCGATGTTTGATCGGGACAAACAGGACCTGGCGTGCTGTTATGGGTATCGTAACGGTTTTGAGATGTTTTGAGCTGTGTGTGTGTGTGTCACCCCCTGTATCTAAGGGTTCCACCTCTTCTCTCAATTTCAACTTTTTTGAGCAGGGAGCGACAGGGTCACTGCATAGCTGTCGCCAACGAAGCTCTATGCAGATGACCAGGATGCAGGGACTGATCATCCCTGTGTACCTGCAACCGAAACTTTTGACCACGCTGTCTAATCTGCTTGGTTTGTTTTCCATGGTTCTTCATGATACCTTCCCCCAAACCATTTCCCACCGCAGACCTGCAGCCGCTTTGCCACTGTGCGCTTTCCGCAGTCAAGTGCGAAAACCATTTTGTTAAAGCACCTACACTTCCCTGGACTTTTCGCCATGCCGTTCCCTCACCATTTTCGACCTGGGAATTGAGTGTAACGGAATACAACTGTCAGAGTGTGTTTCGCTCAGCCGTCCCACTCGGGTGGTGAGTGTGATCCCCATCATTGGGGCGCTGTCTCATCGTGCAAGCAGTAACTGACCTCACCACCTTTCACAGGAACTCCACTGGAAGTCACCTCCACATGCACCGAATTAACTGCCACAACGGCCGCCGGGCCTAAACACGGGAACTGACCGTTTTGCAGCATTTGCATTTTTCTGCATGATTTTGCATTTTCCGCATGATCTTGCATATGTACTCAAGCAATCTGACCTGAGATGTTTGACGGCTAAGTATTCACATGTGCATGTGCTGCTAAGTATTCACAGGCCGGACAAATTAATCGTGCATTTTTCTTTTTTTCCCCCTCCCTACCCCTGGGCCTCCTTTGCTACCCCACCCGCTACTCGGGAAACAGAAGGAAATCGCACTCAACACACTTGTGTGTTGGTGCCTTTCCTTCTGTTTCTCCTAGCCTATTGCTAGCTACCCGGGCGGTTTAAGACAAATGTCCCGCTCGCGCACTACTTTCATTTAACTAAGTGGGCCTCGTAACTACCCCTATCTTTCTTTCTTGCCCTCTTAGTCTGCTTTTGTTTTGTTTGCTTTGTCTGTCTTTCTAAGGCTCTTTAGGTGGCTATTAGTTTTTCGCAGCGCCAATATTGGCACTTTCTGTACAAAGCTCCCCCTTCAACGTCCTACACACTTGCGCCAGAATCGGCTGTTTGTGTGTGTCACCCCCTGTATCTAAGGGTTCCACCTCTTCTCTCAATTTCAACTTGTTTGAGCAGGGGGCGACAGGGTCACTGCATAGCTGTCGCCAACGAAGCTCTATGCAGATGACCAGGATGCAGGGACTGATCATCCCTGTGTACCTGCAACCGAAACTTGTGACCACGCTGTCTAATCTGCTTGGTTTGTTTTCCATGGTTCTTCATGATACCTTCCCCCAAACCATTTCCCACCGCAGACCTGCAGGCGGTTTGCCACTGTGCGCTTTCCGCAGTCAAGTGCGAAAACCATTTTGTTAAAACACCTACACTTCCCTGGACTTTTCGCCATGCCGTTCCCTCACCATTTTCGACCTGGGAATTGAGTGTAACGGAATACAATTGTCAGAGTGTGTGTTCCATGTCGTTCTATGTTGTTCTTCCATGTGTTTCATCGAACTTTGGGTTGAGGAGTGAAGGGGAGTGAAGGACTGGAACACTCGTGAACAGCCAAGAGCACCGATCTCAACGGAGTGGCAAAGCTCCCCAAAGCTGCTCCATTGGCCACCTGGATGTGTGTTTCTTGTGTTTGGTGTCTCCACAACGGCGAAATGTTCAGATCTCCAACATGTCGACACTCTGTGTTGAAAAGAGTTGGGATCCAACTCCTTTGCTTGTTGTCATTTGTTGTCATTTCAACGTGAGGCAAAAAACCACCCAATGTACCCAAGCTACCCAAGTGAACACAAGTCAAGATAGAGATGATTGAGATCGTCACCCATACTCGCCCAGGGATGACACTGTCAATATAACTTGTACCACATGCATATAATTGCATCTATGTGACATATTGCATGGTTTTTGACCTTCATTAGTTGTCACTTTCGCGGTGCCAAAAACGCTGATTTCTGCCTTAAGTCATAAACTTGTTTCAAGCAGAGCGATCCTCCTTGTCCTCCTTGCCTTGAGTACTCCTGACACTTGGTCTTCCAAGTGGACGACCAGCCCCAGGCAACCATGCTAGAGACTATAGATTATAGACCTTAAAAGATGCCCGTTCAATCTTTGCTACACCGGGTTGCTGGTGGCGTCATTTCGGATGACCACCCATGTGCAACTTGAGGGCTGGAGCAATGAAGGCATAGGCAAGTGCACATCGAAGGCATTCCCAAACACTCCATGTATGGTATGTTATATATATGTAATTGTAATATAAGCAATATAATATATATATATATATTAAATTAATATTAATATATATATATATAATGTACTGCCCCCTCTCCCCTCTGCTCTCCGCCCAGCTTCGTGCATTCCGCGCTGCTGCGGAGCCAATGGCAGAAGCTCCGCCAAGAGGCGGCGATTCGCCAGCGGCGCCACCGGGGTCCAAACGTAGAAGTAGAATCGTTTACTATATATCTGTTTGAACCGGTCGCGACCGAACATGACCGGACCTGCCTGCGGCTGCTGTGGATCCGTCCAGGTCCACTCGAAAAACGCGCCCTTAGCAATCCTGGGATTCGGCCCGCTTAGAAGGTGGTAGGCTCCTTCGTTCGGGTGTACAAGCCCTCTCCACGGGAAGACAACTAGCATGGAGGAGGAAATTGATTAAAATGGCCGGCTGACCATGTTCCAAATGCCAAATAAACAAGTGGTGAACTTCAATGATTCTTTCAGGGAGTGCAAGTCTCTCTGAAGATCTTACCCTGCTTGTGTGCCTGGGGGGAGGGTCCGAGGAAGGTAGATGCGTGTTCCAGGCCGCATTGTGGGTCAATCATGGTCAATCTCAAAGAAGACACGACTATTTGGGGATGAGACGAATGTTGGGTTTTCTCGCATGATCTTTCGCGCTGGTCATGTGGTGTCGGTCGGTCTGACGCCCAAGTGGACACGCATGGGTTGCACCGGTGCGACCGGACCTGGTGGACCGGGCCGACAGGGTGTCCCGCAAACGGTGGAGCCTTCGTGACGAACGCAACATGCGCAGTTGGGTGGATGGTCATCCACAAGCGCCACAAGGAGATAGTCATTGATGAGAGACGAATGCAACCTTAATGCAGAACATGGTCGATGTTGACGCGTGCTTAGGCGTGCGAAACGAACATATTTCTTACTCCACTCATTTCTGGAGAGTCAGACCATATATAGATTTGTAGCTTTTGTTCAGGGTTTGCTGAAAAAGACGCCCCCAGATGAGGGAGGATCTGAATTAATGACCCGTACATTGTCTTAGGTCTTGTCTTACTTTCAAAGGAGAGGGACATGAGGATACGTACCAAACCTATATGTGTATCACAGTATTACGTATACAGGAAAATCACGGAAAATCCAATGCCCTCATTTTGGGGCTTTCACAGTTCATTTGGCATTTTGCATCCCCTTAGATCGCCGAAACAAGGTTCGCGAGTTCACAGACGATTCGCCGGCCAGGCCTTGGTGGCCAAAGGTGGGGCCATCGGAAACCTCGTCTCCATGACAGCATGGAGTTGGTCCATGGAGTTGGTGGAGAGTGACCTGAACTAGGTAGTCCAACTGAGGTACCGAATGGGCCTGGGATAGTCGAAGAACAGTCGGGTTATGTCGGGTTCTGAGAAAAACCTCTGCTGGTGAAGAGTTTTCAGAGATGCCGTCCATCTTGGCGAGGTTCCTGTCATGAGAGACTAGTCTCCCTCAATAACGTAAGTTGTTTGTAGACTGTTGATACAAGATGATACAAGAATGTGGACTGTTGATGAAATACAGGATTTCTTATATCAAAAGCAACATCTTTCTGGAGACAGATGGTTTTATTCATCAACAGTCTATCATTATACTATATACTCCACTTCTATCCTCTTCCAACTCACTCAGCGAGCATTCGGGTCGCTTCGGGATGGCAGCCTTGGGCCTTGGGCCAGGCCGTGGGAAACGTGTCCCTTTGATTTACATCTCTTTGTTTCCTTTTTGTTGGTCAGGTAGCTTGCACCAAGTTTGCACCATCTGCTCCAACACCGCAGTTGGCCGAGGTTGACCGATTGGACAGGTTGGTCTGCAGGCTGAGTCTGATGAAATTCGGTGATAGATGGTGTGGTTTTGGTTCAACCAATTGGCTCTGACAGATAGAACCAGAGACCTTGAGATCGGGTTCGAGGCATTTCGAGGCAACTAGACATGCAAGTCGGAAGGCAAGAGCTCTTCGCCTGTGCGCCTTCCACAGAAAGCTGAACCGCCAAGTGAAATTGGCAGTCATGTAATGGCTTGGGTCGCCAAATCAAGCACAAACATGGCATTGTGAGGGTACCTGTACCTCATGCAACTGACTGGTCGCCAGCAAACCAATGGTGAGTTGTGAATTCAGGCTTTCACTCGCAAGATCAGTGGCGAACATATGTTATGAGAGTGCCATAACCCTTCAGTGGCAGCAAAAAGAACCGGATGTACCGTGTCAAGCTCGCGCCCTTAGGGATGTCCGGTTCAAAGGATGACCCAAAGGGAACAGTGAGTCCGTTTTTTCTTTGCCAAAGCATGTTGTCCAAGAAACGCTATGAACATTGGAACAAAGGACAGCAGCAACAGCGTTGGACTGTTCCATGCGAGCACGATGCTGGGCACATGGCCAGATGTTGAGCCTGTGCTGCCAGATGCTCAGATTGATGCAGACTGGCTGAAGCAGTTTCCTTTGAAGACCAAAGGACGGCACATCGCCACTTGGAGAGATCGAAGAGGAGGAGATCGATGATGTGGGTCGCAGTAGGAGGTCTTGACCATTTGTAAGATGTGATTCGCCGTTTGATGATGTGGGTCGCGGTATGTTTTGAACTGAATCTTTTTTGAGTCCTTTAACACAGTTGGCCAGCAAAGTCAGTGATAACTGGAAAAAGAACCGTGTAAATAATGTGATTAACGTTTGCATTTGCAATGTCGTTCTACTTGGAAGTCGTTTACAAGAGACAGAACCCTAGTTGCTTCAAGGCCAAACGCTCTCAACCGAGCCTCCTTGTTTGCTTGCTCGCTTGAAATGAACGGAGTGCCCGTACCCGCAGACACTGAGTACCTCGTTCAGGAAGTTATACCCAAACACTCCATGTATATTGCCATAACATTGCCCCCCCAAACAACCCCAATGTATATACGCAAATATGGCAGTCCCCGTAGGTCGTAGGACCTATGGCAGTCTCATTGGAATCCCTACGGACATCTCCCGGCCTTGTTACCACGCCACTCTACCGTCTCGGTGTCCCGCTCGCTGCGCGAGAAAGCCGAGGTGACCCAGGCGGGGGAACGCTTCCGCTTGCGAGGGGTGAACTGGTATGGCGCCAGCGATTGCAAGCACGTGACTTGGGAGGGTAACAAGTGACTGGGTTTGAAGCGGAGGGGTAACAAGAGGAGGACGGAGGACGTAATACATTCAGAAGACATCGCAGGGTGCGTGGTTCGCGAACAAAACCATGGTTTTGCTGAGTTGTTGTTTTTACATTTTTTTACACTGCAAACCAGCTCAGCCTTTCTGTAAAGATGGTCTTAGAAGGCGAATGGGCCCGGGTTCGTTTAAGTGAAAGCTCTTCAGTGGTTGGAATCCATCGCTGATTGGCGGAATTCTTCCAGCAGTTCCAATAATGTTCTTTCTTTGTTTAAAAAAACTCAGTGAGTGGAGCCCCGATCCAAGTAGTCGTAATATGTCAATTCCTCATCAGGTCAGGTAGGTAGACCAAGAGACCAGAACAAAGTCCTATTCCGCAACTCTCCATTCTTCAGAAGCTTTTCTTCCGCAACTATTTGGTACTCTTCCGCAACTACTCTTCAGAAACTATTGTGCCATCTTCAGAAACTATTTTGCGATCTTCAGAAACTATTTCACCATTTTCAGAAACATTTTCACGATTTTCAGAAACTATTTCGCGATCTTCACATTATTTGCATGCTTTAGAAAGTATAATTCAGTTTTTTTACAATATTGCAACCTGCATGAAGGAGCACTGGGTGGGTAGGTGGGGGTGGGATATTGACGTACCTTGTGACGGCTACGGTATATATATATATATACACATGCCTATTTTGCGATCTGCAGAAAGTTGTTCGTGCAGGTTTGATGTTGCTCTTCGACTCTTCGTATTTTCCGAACGTTAGTTCCTGAAGAAAACCATAGAGTTGCCGAAGATCACTTATGAGTTGCCGAAGATTAGTTTTCACAGAAAAGTTTCCGAAGAAAACCGTAAAGTTTCTGAAGAAAGCCATACAGTTTCCGAAGATTAGTTTCCGAAGAAAGCCGTAACGTTTCCGAAGACCACCTTTTAGTTTCCGAATAACACTTAGACCAAGAGACCAATTTTGAGCGCCTTTTCTTGACATAGAATCAAGCTTGTGTCCATGCCATTCGTGGCAGAACAACCGAAAACATCGTTTGCGGTGGCTGAGCCAGCTGTTCTCAATGAACACATGGCGACCATGACTGGGCCTGACTAATATGTTTCAAGTGGGTTGAAAACCACAACCACATGAAAACCTCTCCGAACAGGGTTGACTCCACCATATTGGAGGATCAGGGACTTGATCATGTGTCCGGGCGCCGGAGGAAGAACGAGCTGAACATATCCAGCAAAGTGCATCATGTTTGCCAAAAGGCGTTGTGTCATTTTGTACGATGTTTTGTGCCAAACTGCCTATAAGAACCACAATTCACGATCCTATGTGTTGTTCCGCCATCCTGAACCCCACCTAAAATAACGCAACTGGCGCTTCATACATAGCATTCCGCCACCATCTTGAGCCCCACACCACATCGCCCCTCCTTTCTTTGAGCTGCACCAAACCCAAATAGGGGTTGCGGCACTAAACTTAAGGTCGTGGGAGGCTTAGACATCCAAAATTTGGACACCATTTGCAGCTTGGCATGCGGGTCAACGGGAATGGGTTCACCGCCTGCCCATGATTGAGATGGCTCGAGTTGCAGGGGTGTGATGGTTTGTCATGGTAAAGCACTCTTCAATGATTTGGTGTGGTGCTGTTTCTAAACACAGCATGTTGACCTCAGCATGTGGAATTTCATTTGGCCCTCAGCATCCTTCCATTCGGATATCAGATCCCAGACACTCCATAGAACTGGAAGATTTACCTCACATTGACCCCCCTTTTCCACCGCAACTGATCGGCAGAGATGCACCTCCCAAAGACCCCCCTCAAAGAAGGGACATAGACCAAAACCCGTTGCTGGCGGCCTCACATCGGGGAAAATTTATACATCTAACAGAGCCCCCAAAAGGGTTAATCGACCCCCTGCAAACCGGGGCCCTGCTAGAATAGAAGAACCTTGGGAATGCTTCTTACTTGCAGTTTCAGCCAGAAGTTGCATATGTGGGGAGTGCCTGGCTGCCTGATGACATTGCATCGAAAACGGCCACCAACCTGGCACTTCAACCTCGTTGCCCTCACATCCTCAGTCTTTTCCAGCGCTGTCAGAGGTTCCTCCATCTCTGCGCTGGGTTTCAACACCGTGTCTTGGCGGTGGATGGGGAGGTGGAGAACCGGGCGGCATTGGATCCCTTTAGAGGAAGAACAAGAAGAAGAAGAAGAAGAAGAAGAAGCTAGTGCTCAGGAGGGAGCGAGTTTTTCGAGCCGGGGGTATCCAGTTCTTCCGCAAACAAGGAGCTACAGGGAGTTCTCCAACCCCTCGCTAGAGAAGCCAACGGTCTTATGAACATTAATGTCATAAACATCATTGAACCGCATGTGGATTCTTGGAACAAATCAGGTGTATATGGTGTATATGGTGCTGCAGTCAGTTATTGTATATATAGTTGTTTTCTATCACGTGGTTAGTGGTTCTACACCAAACCTTCAGTTGGTGTTCCATGGGTTCCTGCCTTTTCCTCATGTTGTGTGATTTAAATCATATACTGCGGCGATGAGCAATAAAAAATCTGAATAGTTCCTGTGGAGTTCTCAACTTGTGCAAGGATTTCATGTGCTTCCCTGCCTTGTCGATGCACCACACATCTCCCCGATTCGGAGCTATGAGCCGCGAAATGTCATGAAGTTTGAGTGCTCCAAGCACAGGTGGCCTTTAACTATTGGTTGGTTGATCAATAGAGGGGACGCCCCCAAGTGTAGAACCAATAGGCAAATGGTACCCAACCGACCCCTTTATTCTTCCCAAAAGGACATCACCGGGCTCCAAGGGGCAAATCCTCAGGTGGGTCACAGCGGACGCAACGCCAAGACCTTCCAAGTAAGATGATGGTAGTTGGAGCTCATGTCATATCTATGTTCCAAAGGAGCTCATGGCAGAACATGGGAGAGAACCACATTTTCAGCTGTTGTTTCATCCAGCGGTGCCGCTCCAGCGGCACTGGTTCGGCTCACTCACCCTCCAGGTTCGGCTGCCCTTCTCCAACGAGATGCTGCGGAGCTCCGTGTGCGGCGCAGGCCGGGTGGAGCGAAAGACAGCAACGAAAGTGACGTGTGTGAGGA